GAAACTTTTTAAATTTTTGTTGAACGTAATATGCAAAAGTCAATTAATAAAATGTTCTCTGATTTATATAAAATTTTCAGAATATATGTATTTTGATCTTATTAATAACTTTTACTTAATAAGATAGATTGATTTACTTAATAAAGTTTTGACTTTACTATGTAGCAATAATTATTGTTTATGGGGTAGCTTCTTTTGGGTAAAAGATATTGTTTATTTTTCTTGTCTAAAAAAGAAAAGTAGCTTATTTTCAGTATAGCTTATTTTTGGAGATATACGATACCTTTCTGCTATACTATTGAGTAATTTTATTTTATCTAATACTATTTTTATTTGGCTATTTAAAATATTTTTCTTTTAGAGTTTGGATCCTATAGTTTATTGATTAAACTTCTAAACTCTCACAGACTAGATTAACAGTTCGAGTCAGGCTGGAGGCAAATTTTAATAAAATTTGCTTTTTAATTTATAGGCAATAATATATATAGATATATATTCAAGAAAATTATTAGACATGGACAGTCTATAGATATTGTCTAATGTTCATATCTATATAATTATCTGTGGGCTAATAATATATTTAAACAAATATCTAATCAAATCATTAGATATGAATATTTGTCTATAGATGATGTTTAATATTTAAGCATGCTATTGGCTAATTGTCAATAAATGTCCAATCAAATCATTAGATATAAACATTTGTCTATAGACAATATTTAAATATCCAAGAATACTATTGGCTAATCAGTAATAATTTTGATTGTTTATAAACAATACTATGTCCATGAACATGAACATACTCTTTATTTGTCTATAGATATTAAATGTCCATGTTCATGGACTGTCCATGGATATGTCTATGTTCATTGACAATACTACCTATGGGGCTATAATTGGATGCGAAGCCCTGTGAAAAGTCCAAGTGCAATACGAAATCAGAATAAGAAGTTTCTGGAAGAAGACCAGATTGTGAAGTGAAGGCGTTATATATAATAGTGATATTACAAAAAGTCTAGACAGTAGAAGATTATGTATGTAAGTCCTCTGGTTGGGGTAACTCAGAGGCAATACCAACATTCTATCATCTTCATATTTAGCAATACCAACATCTCTATACCCAACTTGTAGAGTACTTGCTTAAAAAGATGATCAACAGATTGTATATATAAATCCTAATGTGAAATGGTATTGAGTACTTGTTTGAAAAGTGATACAATATTATCAAAACTAGAGTAGTGAAAGAAGTGGTAATACACAACTATGGGCTATAGTAAAGGATCATGTCTTAATTAGAATTGGAAATATCTCTGGTATTGGTAGAATAACTATAGAAAGCTACTTGGTGTAGAGAATATAATCTACTCCTATATGTTTAAAAATACTAATTCAGAGCTCTAGTCACATCTATATAGAAGTCTATGATAAAAAAGAGTTAGAATTTATTAACACTAATGTGATACTAATTAAAAATAGCTAAAAGTGATTTAGCTTACTATTTAAGTAATTTTGTAATATTAGGCTGGTCTTTCACAAGATAGGTCATTAAAGCAGAATTACGAATATAGCTAATGGCTAGAAGTATGTAGCCTTGTAGTTGCTATGCAACTCAAAAGGTCTTTATAAACTATAGTTCTGATAAATATCATATAAGGGAGTACTTAAGAGATAGTAAAAAGTATATTGTATCAGATAATTTAGAAAACGTTAAGACCTGAGGACAGTAAACTGGTGGTGGTAGCAGGATCTGGCTTGAAATACAAGATTAGTTTATCTGGAGAAGTAAATAGAAAGTCTAAGATATTTATATAACGTTAAGTTACATAAAGAGATGCAAGCTAACAAAGAGTAGTACAAATACTTGATGAGTTTTTTTTCTGATATATAATATCAATGCTTCTCATATGGAACTAGCGGTAGCAACAGATATCTGGCTTGAGAAATATACATAAGAGACCATCTTTAAAAAAAGTATACTAGTTTAAAAGAGTACCAAATAATAGGCATATCAAATTGGAAGGCCATTAAGGACTAATTATCTAAATAGACTAATTTAGAAGTTATCAAGATTTAATGATAAGACATGAGGTGAATATAGTGGGTAACTAAATATAGTCTGAACACCAAATCTAGATATAATCTAATACATGGTAGAAACATAGCATACTCTAGTAGGTTTAGATCATAGATAAGATTGTCTAAGTCTATATTCTTAAGTTAAATATATAGCTATATAAGACAAATACTTGAAATTATCTAAATAAAAATACAAAACAAGATCTCATCTTAACACCAAAAAAAAATATATATTTTTCTTTTATAAAAATACTATGTTATCTATTTCTAAACTAATATTCTTTTTTTTTTTCTCTAGTTTATTTATATTTTTCTACAAATAACTTAACTCTTAATTCTTTTATGTTTTTCTTTTTTTTTTCTTTACCTTTTTATTAGTTGTTATTAGCTTTTTACTCTGTATTAAAGTTTTCTTCTTTACTTTTTTTTTCTGTTTTTCTAGTTCATTCTAGTTTTCTTATTTCTTTTTGCTTGAACTAGCAATCCTCTTGAATTTTTTAAAATCTTTTTTAGTAATTTCTTCTATAATATCTTCAATTTGTTTTTTATTTGATTAGCTTTCTTCTCTTTATTATCTATAATTCTCTTTTCCAATTTGTCTTGTAGTTGAAAATAATTTATTATTAATTTTTAAAAAAATACTTAAGATTTTTTCTTTTTTTTCTTTTTTGAAGTTCTTTTTATTTTACTTTTTTTTTTTTAAAACCTGATATCTACTTTTTGTATTAATATAATTTCTTCAAGTACTTTTTTAAGTAATTGTTAAATAAAAGTTCTTTTTTGTCTATAGGATTCTTTATTTTATTTCTATTGGTTCTTCTTTTCTTATTTTCTTTAGGAATTATTACTTTAATATTTTTTTTTTTTTTGATATTAAGGTAACCTCTCTGTTATACCTTTATTTGATTATAGTTATAATTTTTATAGTATGATTTTTATACCGTATATATATTTGAAGAGTATAACTAACTATACAAGTAATTTTTGGTTGTCTATTTAAGTAGTCTGCTTATTATTAAATTTTATACTAGATGTTATATCTATAACCTAACTAGAAGGTTATCTATTTAAACCCTTTGCATCTATGTAATTACAATTTTTTTCTTCTTTTCTTAGTTTTGTTCTACAATATATATATATTTTTTTCAATTTGTTAGAAAGAATTTTTTATTTTTTTCTTCTTTTGTTGTAATCTTTGCTTTAAACTTTTTTATTTACAAGTTTAGATTCATATTTTATTTTGCTCTAATTTCTCTATAGAATCTTTTATTTGCATTTTTAATACCTTTGTATTTGTTGAAATTTTCAAATTCTCCTTATCTTCTTTTTAATTATTTTGTGTTAGAAAAGATAAATTTTTTTGTTCAAGTTGTTGAATTAAACTCTTCTCTATATTTCTTCTTTGAAGTGCTTGTTGTTCTTCTTTTTTTTTAAAAAATCAACTATTTAGTCTTTATAAAACTCTAGTTTTTTCAAATAATCTTTTATTAATTCATCTAATATCTCTATAATTTTAGTTTGTTTTCTAGAATCTTTTTTTCTTCAGTATCTAACTTTCTAAATGCTGTTTGTTTGTTTATATTATCATGTAATCTATAATTAAATTGTTTTGTTTACTTCTAAACATATATTCTATTTTGTATAATAATAATAAATCTACAGTACAAGATCAAATACAATTCTCTAAAATTGTTTGCAAAAGCGAAATTTCATCAGTTTTTTGCTGTTTTTCTTCTTTTCATTTAAAACTTTACTTTTTTCACCTTTGTTTCCTAAAAGTCTAGATATTATTTTGTGTATTTTTTCTTTTTACTTAGTACTACAAACTGTTTTTTTAGTGAAATATATGTTTTGTTAATTTTTTGTTTATAATGAATTTGTGTTCAAAAGATTAGCAAAAAGAGTTGTATTATTCAACTCTTTTATAATAACTTTATCTTGAATACTTATCTATTTATATTAATATACCTTTATATAACTAGTTTTTTTATATATCTATATTATCTAATATCTTACTATTAGCTATATTTTATAGTTTTAGTAATAAATTTATATAGTTTAGATATATATTTAGATTTGTATAAATATAACAAATCTAGATAAGCTATGATTTATCTAGTTGATTTATATCATTTTAGATAAACTATAACTACTCTAATAGATTTAGATCACAAATAAAATAGTCTGAACTTCTAGTTTTACTATTCTTTAAAATATGAAATTTATATGATGCATGTAGCTTAGAACCAACATCATATATGGCCAAATTTTAAAAAATTTTTATTATAAAAATTTTTGTACCACATAAAAATTAGCTAATCAAATTTTAGCTAAATATAAATTTTTTAAAAAATCTATATTAGTAGCCAAAATTTTAAAATATATAAATATATTTTAGCTAATAATTCTAATTCTACTAAAGCAAGAAAAAAAATCTTTTGTAATAATATAATATAAACTCTAAATAATTAATTTACAAAGAAAAAAATTTTATTATAATATTAATATTATTATGGTGCAGGAAGTCTATACCTGACAATCATGTGACATGTTTCAATTTTTTGATGATGATAATTTTTCACGTGACTAGCAAATTGACCAATAAAATAATCAATCAATTCAATCGATTCAATCGATTATCAATTTTCTGATATATAATGAATAACGTAATATACCCTTTTACTTTTGTAGTGAATGAAAAAGTTTTTACAAAAACTTAACTACTAATTAAAAATGAATCTAGTATTGTCTTTTCTTGTACAAATATTCGTTGATTGGTTATACTAAGAAAGCATATGAAAAGTATGATCATAACTTAAAAGGCATCTAAGCTTAAAGAAGTTTTTTTTTGCGGCGAAATAGCAACTAGTTGGGTAGATCAGTTTTTAATAACACTACTTTAATTATGTTATTCTAAATACAGTTCAGCTCTCTGCATTTTAAATATATTAATTAATAAGTTTTTAATGAAGTGACATACTTCGAAGCTATTTGAGTGTCGCTAGAAGAAACTCGAAAATTTAAATATAAGCCATATTTAAATTTTCGGGTTTTCTTTTAGTGACACTTATTTCAGATCAAACCCAGCCTACGTTGAAGTGTATCTTAAAAATATGCTTATAAATTTGGAGCAGTCTGAAGCAACTCGAAACAAGTCTGAAGCAATGTTAATTTAATGAAAATGGGTTAAGGTTGGACTAAACCCAACTTACAGCACTATGGATTAGGTTGGCGGAATGAAAAAAAAAATAGGCGAGAAACAATATATAATTGTTTTATTTTAATCTATGATTGATCTATTATTTTCTCTATATTTTCAGGCAGGCGACGATGTGATTTAAACTTATTGATGGCCCATTCAGCTACTCTACCTGCTAACCCCTTGGAATAAGCATCCATATACCTCTATGATTTTTAAGCAAATTTACGAATAGTTGGTGTTGGAATACTATTGAGAATCTTAGGAATTTGCCTTAGCAAGTCTTTATAATTATAATTGCACGATACCCTAAGTTCTTGCTTTATGAAACCCCAATATCGTTCAATGAAGTTACATTCACAATAGAATTTAGGATATCGCTCGAAAATATGCCCTTTTTTAACAATAGCTTCTTCTAATACTGACTGTTGTTCACAGAAATCTGGTTGTAGTAATATAATTCATAGTGTACAACAGTCTAGTTCTTCAAAATCATCATTACTTTTTTTAGAACATCGTTCACACACCAAATTCACTCCACTAGCAGGCCAGATATTACGCTCTTCAAGCACTTGCTAAATGCCTTTTGGTTTTCCTCTCAACTCTGGCACTGGGTGGTTATCCGGAAATACCATTTTTTGATTTTGTCTTTCCCCATACTCATCTATATACCAACCATCTCGCATCTTAGGTTGTTTTCCTCTGGGGCCTTTGTTGATTTTTGTTGCCACCAATGTGTCTTCTGCTATGCCATTATGGTTTGTCGATTGATCAAAGCAGAAGACTCCCGCACATCCAGGATGCAATACCTCAAATATAGATATTGCTTTTTCTAAAAGCTAGGGTTGGTAATAATTGTGGCAGATTAAATGAAATTAGATTAAAATGAAATTTTATATAGACAAGCCATTAAAATTTACAATACATTTTTATCTTTTTAGGATTAGGAGTCAGCTTTAGAATTTATAATAAACAAATATAAGTAGGTTTTAGGTGGTCAAATAGAAACTCAAAATTTCATTTTAACTCGATTTTATTATGATCTGCGACATATATTAATGAAAAATAAAAAGAGTTCAAACCTGTTCTAACATATGTTCTGACCTCCAATATCCATTCTCCTGTACAGAACATATGACAAAAGCTTCCCTATATTTAATATATAGATTGGCACAGAATTGCTCTTCTGATAGTTACAACAAACCGTGGCATGGGCATATGAAAGCTGAAACCATTATAGAACACCCCATATGTTTTGGACATAAAATATCCTCATCTTTCTTGGTTCAAATTCTACACTGTCCGTCATTGGTATAAAAGTGACATTTATCATGAGTTACTTGCACCAACTCTCTTTCACCAGACTCAAGTTCAGGATTTATAACTATCTCCAGCATATCACTAACAAAGTCTTTCATATATATTTTGTATCTAAACATTTTTTCTAACCACTTCTTTCTATATTCTACTACGTCTGGCCGCTCATGACCATCGTAGTACATACCTTTTTTTCTCTTGTTATATTTGTATCCCAACGTATACATATATATTTGATATATTTTTTCAAAGATTGTGTTTTTTGTATAATCTACTTGTGATAACAATGTTTTTTCGATATATATCTTTAGGGCTCTAGAGGAGCGTGACTCTGGAGATTGTTGCCGCAACCATTCTTGACATTCGTTTAAGAAGACTTTATTATCAAGCAAGCTTGTAACTTTTTTATGTTTTCCTTGATTATAAGAAAAGAGTTCTTCAGATTCTATATAATAATCTCCCCATTTTTGAATACACCTTGCTGCATAATCACCCTTATTCCACACTGTTTGTGCGACCTGAAAACTTGCATTTATTTTACTTTGCTTATCTAGTAACAACTGGATATACCGGCTTATACTTAATAAACGCAGGTAATCATATGTAGGCATATTGCTTTTGGATGATTTTTTATTAAGCATTGTTGATTAACTTTTTCTAAATGCATGCATAGGATTGCCTTAGGGTTAATGAGTAGTAGAAGGCTTTGTATGGTTGCAGGAGATGGTTGTAATGATAGTGTATTACTTGATGCTTCAGTTGAAGCATCAAGTAATATATTACTTAATATTTCAGTTGAGACATCAAGTAATGTATTACTTGATGTTTCAGTTGAGGCATCAAGTAATATATTACTTGATGCTTCAACTGAAGCATCAAGTAATGTATTATTCGATGTTGTAGCATCGAATAGTACATTCTTTTCTTTTGCATCTTGCGGCTTTTTCTTTTTATTTTGTCGTCAGATCGTTGTTCTCTAATTTTTATTATACTCTCTTTTCGCTTGTGCATTAACGATTTTATCCTCCTCTAATGTGGGCTCAGTGATATCACCCTCCTCAACTTGCACATTGGTGGCTTCACGTTCTTTCTCTTGAGATGCAAAGCGACCTCTTTTTCTAGACATCGTATTTATTTGTTGTTGTCTTTTTGAATTATAAGACATCGCAGATTAATGCCAATTAACAAAACAAGATCAAAAATTAATTGGCAAAACAAATTTATCACGTAATTTATATAATAAATAGTGTTTGGACAAAACATAATACTAAATTTTTGCATATCATTCTGAACTTATTGACATTTGGCTAGATATATAGGATCCTTTTTAAGTTCAGGTGGGCTAGGTCTATTTGCTTATGATTAACCACAAAGTCATTCAATGTGATAAATGACCAGTTTATTAAAATTTGATTACATAAAGCATTTGAGATTTATTATAAAAGGTATTGCAGTTTATAGTTTACTAAACTTTAGCTTTATTGATTTATGAAAAATAAAAATCAACTTTGTATAGTCTAGTCATAGCACAAAAATTATCAACTAGTGATTACAACCAATTAGATTTCTAATTAAACTTCAATTTAGCCAAACAGTTATTTGAACATTGATATTAGTGTTGAATTAAAGTTAGCTTGTAGTTTTTATTTTATAGGCAGTAATAATTATGAACTGCCAATATTTTTGCGCTACAACTATTTACCGAAACTATTATTTATACAAGAATATTAATATGTAAAATTCAGATTACTGTATTACTATGGTTAAGCAATACCGACAATCAAATTTATTTGTACAATAAATAAATATTTTAATTTTTTAATTATTTTAATGTGAAAAAATAATAGAACACACATTTACTGAATATAAATTTTTTTTTGATATATATCGCATTATATAATCCTAGTTTGGTGAACTTTTCTCATCTTTCACTACATTAGTTCAAGTTTAGCTATGTTTTTTCTAAAATTTTTAAGCAGATTATTAGATTCATCACTTGCAATTTTGTATTTATGGGTTAATGATAGATCATATAAAGTGTATCGATATCACTAGTTTTGATCGATTTACACCAGCCAATCAGATGCCTATAAAAGTGTTTCAATTTCGAATAAACTTAGTAACTTTAAAATGCTTCAGCTTTTTATCGAAGCAATATTTCAAAAATCTGACCAGTAACTTTGTTCTTTATAATGAGTTCTACAAAGTTACTGGTCAGTTTTTTAAAATATTGCTTCTATAATGAGTTGAAGCATTTTGAAGTTACTATGTTTTTATGATCACGTGATTGTCAGGTATAGACTTCCTGCACTATAGTTATAACTTTTTTTAGTTTATATAGTTATAAAAGATCACGTGATGTTGGTTTTAGACTACATGTATCATACTATATATATTTTTTTTATTTATAAAAAAGTTTAAATAAATTTTAATAAAAATAGAAGTATATCTTTATTTTATTTTATTTTATTTTATTTTTTTTTTAACGTATTGGCAGTAGTGTTCCGAAGTTCAGTTCAGTTCAATTTAGGTTCAGGTTCAAGTTTAATTGAACCTGAACTAAACTTTAAATTTTGCAGATCTTTGAACCTAAACTTGAACTAAACTTTAAATTTATGAACTTGAACTGAATCTGAACTCAAAGTTTTGGTTCAGTTCAAGTTCAGTTCAAGTTCATGAA